CTTCGCGATGACGGTCCCCTCCCCGTTGATGGCTCGACGCTCCGTCATCTCGGTGCCCGCGGGGGGCCTCCCTGTCTCGGGTGTCTCGAGCGGAGTTGGCCGTTTGTGTTTCTTCGAATCGGATATAATGCGCGGCTCTGTCGAGGAAATCTTGGAGGGAGGTTGGCCGGTGTATGCCTACGGCCTCGTAGAACTTGGAGTCGTGGCGTAGACCCTGTTCCATTAAGTAACGCTTCATCTCGTCTGACGTCGTCACTTGCACTGCTTCCCGAGTGAATATTTCGATGTACTTTCGGAGAGGTTCGTCGGGGCCCTGGATGATCGCCCCGAGGACGGCTTCCGTCTTCGGGTGGCGTCGGGACTCCGTAAAGTGTTTGGAGAACAGGTCCTTTAAGACTCTCCACGACGTAACTGATTCGGGCTCCAAACTTTTATACCATGTCATGGCGCCTTTCCTCAGAGTCGTCGGGAAGAGCCTGCACTTGATAGCTCCTCGGACGTTTCGGTAATCGAGCATGGCCTCGATGTCCTCTAGGTGATCGTCCGGGTCGGATGTGCCGTCGTACGTCGACAGCGTCGGGGGCTTCTCCATCCCTTGGGGTATGGGGGCAGCCATGATTTCTCGGGACAACGGGGTGCGGTAATCGTCCTCGTCGCTGGGTGCCGGGGACCGATGGGGAGACAAGCCGTTCAAAATAGGGCTCTGGTTTCGGGTTCTCGACCTCCTGCCTGGGTTTTCGCCTTGGGGATCCCCAGTCGGGATCGCCGCGGTGCTCTGGTTCCTCTCGCGAACTTGTCTTGCTGGGGACCTGATGCGTTCTCGCGCTACCTGTGCGCGGTGTCTCTCCAGCCGCGGTCGGCGATTTCTGGGTCGAGGTGAAGGACTCCTCGAACCTCCGTTCTGGTCTTCCCGCGAGGGGTACCTCGGAGGGCCGACGCGTTCCAATGCTCCAATTCTCGCGTTTTGCTGGAACAGCAGCTGGTTCGTCTGGTTGATGGCCGTAAAGAGAGCGGCCACCGTTGGGTCCGCTCCCGCCGGGATGGGAACGGGTTGGAATGATGCCGGGCCCTGGGGCCGGTGGTCGGCCTGAAGGGGCCGCTCCGCGGACGACGGTGAGGCAGTTTGGCCGTCTCTCTCGTCGGTTTCCGCCGGACGCGTCGTTTTCGTCTGCTTGTTTCCGTTGGTGGCGACGTTGAGCACGAGGTCGTGCGGAGTGTCGTCGCGGTGTAGGCTAGCCATGATCGTGGAGTGTTGGTGAAACTTTGGTATTCTGCTCGGAATAACGGGGAAGTTTCCATTCCTACAGACGGCGCCACTGATCTGACCCGATCAGAAGGGGATCACGGGCCGGCCACACGCTGTTGGACTGCCACCTGTTCGCTGGTGATGAGGAGGAAAAAGGGGGGTGTACCTGCAAAACACTCCGATGCCAAAGTAAGGAGTTGGGTAGAGTGAGAGCAAAGTACAGAAAGTGGGTAAGAAGTGAATTACCTGACCCTCTTGAGGAAGAGGGTATTTATAGAGAGACCCTAGCGCTGGGCCAACGGTCATTTGAGGTGGGCTGGATGACCAGGCCCAACCCTAATGACTGCTAGGGCTTACGTGGCGTAGTGAAGACCAGAACGTGGTCTTCGCCCTAGTCCAACTGTCCCGTGATCTCCGAAAAGTGGGTTTGACCTGCTCTTTCGGAGGTGGGCAGTTGGGAGATGACGTGTCCTCGCGGAGGGGAGCACGTGGAGAACGTGCGCCGGGCATGTTGTTCTCCCCACGGAGGGGAGTTCGGGAGGTTCCCCGGAGGCACGTTGTCTTCCACGAGGAGAATGCGAGGATGTGGAGGAACCAAAGGTCTTGCTCGACGGGCCGGGGTGTGCCCTGTTCGGCCGACAAGAGAGGATGTTGAGACGCTATCGGACGCGTCGTCCATCCCGGCGGGGAGCGTGCCCTGCCCGTCCTATGGGGCGCGTGTGCCCGGTCCGGCTAGTCCACTTAATGGGCCATGTGCGATATTGGGCTGGACCGCGAGGCTGGGCCCAGACCAGAACAGTTTCCTTTCCCTCTCTTTGGGATAAATAATGAAAGTGGCGACTCTTTTGTTTTTTCCGCCGGTTGTTTTTCGCAGTTGCGACAATCTTCAACGACTACAAACAGGTCAAATCTTCTAGTACATCCTCTTTTCCAATAAAGCATGTGTTGGAACTTTCAGTCACAAGGATAAAAACTTCTCAAGACCTTTGTCCAGAGGATACAACTATAATTCAAGTACAACACAATCTGTATAAGATAATTTCAGTAAATCTTGAGTCCTGTGTTAGCAGAACTGACTTGACATTACTCAGCATCAGAGGTAGCATGGCACGCTTCTGAGCTAGAGTGTACTAGCATGATCAGAACCGAACCAAAGCCGTTTCAATTTCAGAACCAGTTCCATCAAGTAAATATAATTGTGCACACACAAACTACCTAGTTAGAAATCCTAATTAATTTTTAAATACTTTGTTATCATCAAAACCTTGGAGGATACATGGCATGAATCAAACTTGTTTCAACAAATAGTTTTGTCGATAAATTTTAGAATGGTTAGGGTTTTCTCAAAGAATATGTAATTTTCTTATTTTTCGCATTCTCTCTCTATTTATTTCTTTTCTATATTTCTTTCATTTTTATCTCCCTTAAAATAATCAGCTTTTATTTCTTTATTTTCCCACTAACTTTGCCCATTTAACTCTCTTCTTATTATCTCTATAATTTCCAATTTAGTAATAAGTTTCAAATAATAATAATAATAATAATAATAATAATAATAATAATAATAATAATAATAATAATAATAAAATTCTCTAAAAACACAATAAAATTGAAGTAACATTAAAAATAATATTTTTAATTAATTTGGGGTGTTACAGTTACCACGCTATTTTTTGTTTTGAAGAGGTGGAAAAATAGAGCCACAGTTGACTTGCCTTCTTGCATTCACACTGATGTTGAAAAACCTTAACAATGCCCTGCTCATCGGATGTAGTTATGTAGAGTCAGTCATTAAGTGATTCATAAAATTAATCTTAAAGTCATTGAATGGAAGATGAAAGCCCATAAGGGAAAATAAACACTTGTGAAAGGGAGTTATGCACCCACCATATTGCTACATATGATTTTTTCACCATATGGTGGAAACACTTCCCAGTCGTTTGAAAGCCCCACATCAGTAAAAGCATAGTCTAAGCCACTCTTTCAAGCGAAAGCGGAAACACTCTTCAATGTTTCCTTGGCCACCCAGTTGGTCGAGATATCTTTTTTTGCCTTTTAAAGTGTAGTGGGCGCAATCTCCATGGTAAGAAACTCTACGAAATAGAAACTAATACGAACAATATGGGACAAATAACAAAGTTCAAGCACAAACATTCTTGTCAAAAGGTGTCAACAGTAAAAGAAATCTCTTGAAAGAGAAGCAGAAGTATCAATAGCTCATTACCCTGAAAACCCTATAAGAAATGTGAAAGCAAGAAGAAGTTGCATTTTTCTTAGTGAAAATGGATTAATTGTTCATGCATGTTAAGTGCCAATGAGAGAAGATCAAATAAGAGCTTAACCAAAAGTTAGAACAACAAAGCTTGCAAGAAAGAATGACAACAAAAGCATAAAGGATTTCTTTTACATGTCACAAATGGAAGAAACGGGAAAAATAATGCTTCAAAAATCTCTTACATAGACCTCATCTATTAAAGATTGTGCAATCCACTGTGCACCACCAACAATTGAGATTTCATCGAAAACTGTTCAAGTACTCGAGTATGCTAACAAAGAGGAAATGTCATCATTATTTAGCGTGGGGATACACGTCAGGTATTCTCAGCAAAAAGTTATGTATTATAGGGAAAGTATTCATTGACCTTATTCTCAGTGACAATGATGTCCCATCAAATGATTTCACCTCCCTAGACCAAACAACCAAACTAGAGTATATATGGCAAACCTTCGTCCAACAAAGTAGAGATAAGGGATTGGAGAGCAACTGTTTTAGGTAATCCACAAGGCCTAATACGAAGGCTCAATTGTAAAGCAAAAGTAGTAAAGCGTGCTAAATATGTAAACTCCTATTTTCTATGAAGCAGGAGTAATTTTGCCTTCAGGAGCTCTACTGATCGTTAGATCAATCTCACGACAGATTGTGATCCATAAATCATTCCACGCTTTCTGTTGAGAACCACTCCCACAATTTAAGAGGAAAATCGCGTCCTTCTCAAAATTTCAAATGCATTCTTACTCTCACATCACTTCTCATTCTCTCGCTTACTTGGGCAATAAAGTGCTAATCTTGCAAGTTTCCACCGCACCGGTTGAAAGCTCAAGTCCACCATAACAAGCACTGATTCATCAGTTCACTTGAACAATTCTAATTCCTCTACAAAACAAAAACTATTCTTTTTAATGGGGATGAATACGAAAATAATGGCATTGAGATTGTTAAATTGAGTTTTCTTTTTCTTTTTTTTTATATTCGTCTTTGGTTTTATTTTAAAAAAATGTGGGATCCCATGCACATATGAATGCTCATACAAGCTACCAAGAAGAGTCCACACTTGTTAACTATGAATCACGTATATGCCACACGATTCCGACACTAATACAGCAACATCGATAACAATTTCTAAAAATGAGTAAATTAATCGTAATCATAAATATCGGTAACAATGTCTGACACTGACATGGAGACGAACACGATTTTTTAGAAGTATCGAAGCTATAACTTGTTACAATTCAGAAACTCCACTATTATTATTTTTGAAAAAACATTAAAAATAAAAATAAAAAAGATTAAATCACCACCTGATCACTTATTTTGATATAAAATAGACAGCCAGGGCCATGAAGTTTTCACATACCCTTCCCCATAACAAAAACCACAAAATATAAAAAGATAAATGAAAATAAATGGCAACCAAAACATAACTTTGAGAAACAAATAACATTCTTCACTAGATCATCATTCCATCCACAATCCTCATGCAGAAAACGGAACAAAATGAGAAAGAGGTTTGCACTTGAGTGGTTTAGCCAAAAACACAGTAACCCTTCCAACCTCTTTCATATCAATCTCATTACTCTTTCCATCATTCACATCCCAATCATAACATTGCACCAAACTTGCAAGTGTTGCTTGGATAACAATCAAAGCAAGTGAAGCACCAGGACAACTCCTTCTACCACTACCAAACGGCAGAAGTTGATAATATTGTCCCCGTACATCGATTTTACTCTTGCTAGGATCGTCGTTTTGTAAGAATCTTTCCGGGTCGTAGACCGATGGATTGTCCCAATAGTTTGGATCTCTACCTATAGCCCATGCATTGATGAAAATCTTAGAGTATGCCGGAACATCATAGCCATCAACTTGGCAACTTCTTATGGCTTCTCTTGCGAATATTGGAGTTGGTGGGTGGAGTCTTAGGGTTTCTTTAACTACTGCTTGAAGATAAGGGAGATTTGGTATGTCTGATTCTTTAACAAGTCTCTCTTTGCCAACAATGGAGTCTATTTCGTTTCTTGCTTTCTTGAAAACTTGTGGATTTCTTATCAGTTCTGCTAGTGCCCATTCTAACACACTTGCTGGTCCGTTTGTTCCTGCGATAAACATGTCCTGTTGAACACATTAAGCAAGTTTTAGTGGTTATCAACCCTTAAAAAAACTAATAAAATTTTGATACCATGTATATACATAGTATAAATTTATATAAACTTTGATAATTATATAATGTAAATGAAATATAATTTTATAATAAAATATTATTACAATTTTTAATAATATGAAATTTTTTTGTTGGACCGACTTACAGCTATATTTTATATTTACACAGTCATATATTCCTATTGGTAAAAAAGTGAAATGACTTTATGTGACATATCTATACGCCTTCCCATCTCATTTATTCTAAAATATTCAAATTTAGATCTACCTAGTAACTTATAATATAAAGACCTACTCAAAATAGTTTAACAATATCGTGTTAACATAAAGAAAGATTCTAAACAAGTTCACAAAAGTTTATGAAATAAACTTGCCATTGACATTCGCTTACTTACTCGATAGGTAACCGTTTAATCGAGATCTGATAATTTATTAAAAAATATAAATTTTAATTTTTGAATTATAATTTTAAAGGTAATGTTGACATGTGTCTTAAGAGCATACATTAAGAGTTAAATATAAATTTTTTATTAAAAATTGTGTATGAATTTTCTTAACATGTACCCTTGTCCTATAATGGCACATGTTAGCATTATTTTAGTTTTAAATATAAAATTTAAACTAAATTAATTGATATTGATCAAACGCTTGTTGATGCACCAAATACGTGAATGCATGCATGCATCAGTGTAACCATATGGAATATGCATCATAGAATAAAAAGCAATTTTAATATAGATTCCATGCGGTCAATGATGCACACATTTATAAATTTGGTGCACCAATGAACGTTTGCCCAAAATTTAATGGTTTATGTAGATTTTATGACGTCACTAATGTACACATTTACGTATTTGGTGTATATGTGAATGTTTGATCAAGATCCGTGTGTTTAAATTTACTATAGTTTTTTATTTTTAAATTATATTTTAAAATTATAAAAAACATAAATTCAAATCCTTCAATATTGATTGAACGTGATTGATGCTTCGAATACGTGAATTCTTGATTAGTAGCAAATCTGCATCCTATAGAATTTAAAATAATGTCATTTTAGCAAATAAATTTTATTTTGAAATGACTGTGATATTCACTTTTTGAATTAACATTTATTATAACTTTTTAATTATAACTTTTTCATTACTTTCAATACTTTAATAAAATTAATTTTATAAATGTGTAATATCTTAAGCGACCCTGAGTATATAACAAATAGAGTATCTGCATCCTGTAGAATATACAAGTATATAACAAATAGAGTATTAAAAAAATAGGAGTGAGTGAGAAAAGTTTATACCAGAGCAAAAGCTTTAGCACTTTGTCTAGTGAGTTTACTATCAGCCCCGTCAGCTTCAATCAAGTTCAACAAAATATCAAACAAATCCTTCTTCCTATCACTCCCTTCACCTTCTTTAGCCCTAACCTCTTCATGTTCCTTCAACACTTTCTCCATCATTGCATCCATCTTATGATGTGTATCTTTATTCTTCTTCCCAAACCCTTGAAGATCAAAAGGCCTCATAAACCCAACAATATCACCCAAATTAAACGCACCAAGAAGCTCACCAATTTCCCTAATCACTTTCCTCAACTCACCAACCTCATCATTGACACCACTACTCTTCTTCCCCATTGTCATTCTAGAAATGATATTATTAGTATGTCTAATAAGTTCATGTCGCATTTCAATAGGTTTACCATTTTTCGATATCTCCAAAAGGTTCCTCAGAAAACACTTAACTTCATCTTCGCGAATACTCACAAAGTGTTCAAGAGTTTTTCCACTAAGTAGCTCAGTCATGCAAAGCTTCTTGAGAAACCTCCAATAATTTCCATAAGGTATGAAAAAATAATCAGCAGCACCATAGGTTAAACTCTCGCTCGCAATCATAATAGGTCGATTGCAAAACGACTCTTCGCAAGTTTTTAGAATTTGCTTAGCACTTTCAGCTGAGGATGCTACTATGACATGTTGTGAACCAAGCATGATGTGCATTAAAGGTCCATAACGTGTTGAGAGTTTGTAAAGTGCTTGATGAAGGAGTGATCTAAGATATGGTGCATGCCCTAGAATTGGAAAAGAAATTGGAGGGCCAGGTGGTAGTTTATAACTCTCAGATTTTTTGAAGAGTGATCGAATGAAAATAGTTGAAATGAACCATAGAAGGAATAATACTAGGTAACCTTGGATTTCAAGCATGGTTGAGTTCTTGAGTTTGGTAATTATTGGTGACATTTTAATATTGTTACCAAATTCAAACCAGGATGAACTCAAGAACTTAAGGTTTAAGATGAAATTGAATTAAGAATAATGGATGGAACATAAATAGAAGGTTTTGATTTTGGTTTCATTGAACTGTTCACTAAATTTTGAGAATCTAATAGGTTATTAATTTGTGCGATCCTCGTGGTCGAATATTATATTAAGAATGTTGTTATGTGTACCTCGTGGTGCATATTATAATTTGCATGTTGCTTACGTTTGTTGTCACCTAAGGTGAGTGTGGTTGATTTGTGTTTCTCTCGTTATTAATAGTTATTGTGAGTTTTTAATAATTTACTACTCCTTTTGTCCTTTTCCATCAAATAAATTAGTACTTCTTTGAAATAATTATAAACTAGATTGAAATCGGCTCATTTTAAATATTTATTATAAAATATTAAATTTTAATTTTGTTTAGTATAAAAATAAAATTGTAATTGTGGTAATAAGATGAATAAGATGAAATAAAAAGAGAGAAAGTAAAGCTTAAGTGATAAGAAATATGTTTAAATCATAAAAATACAAATAAGACATAATAATTTAATTTTAAAATTTAAATTATACGTATAAAATTATAAATGATAATTTGAATTATACGTATAAAATTATAAATGATAGTGAAAATTTTATAATTTAATTTTGTAATATGTATATGGGAGTATAATTAAAAATAATATTTTAGAAATAATTTAATATTTTTGTTTGTCTATTTGTAAAATATAAGTTAAGTTTAAAAGTATTGTTCGATAATTATTTTTAGTATTGTAATAAAATTTAATATTTGAATTTAATTATGTATTATGTAATACATAAAAAATATAGAAGTATTTGTTTGTCTCTTTAAAAGTAATGTTTGAATACTTTCTCTTAAACAATGAAAATTATGTTTGAAAGTTATTATAGTTTTAAAATTGATACATACAAATGAATATTTTTATTAAAAGTATTTTATACAATTAAATGTATTTTTTATTGAGAAATACTGATAAACATGTAGGTATGAAAAAATAAACTTAATATTAGTATAGAAAAAACAAATTAAATTTTATGTTTTTCTATCGATTTGTTATAAATTAATTAATTTAGTTTTTAGTATAGTGAATAAGTGTACGTACTAAAAAGTAGAGTATAAGTTTAATAATTTTAGTTTTGATGTATGGTTGATAAATGATTTGTACAAGTATGTAATTTATAATAATTTACGTTTGATGTATTTGTATGTAAAATTTGTACAAATATGTAATTTTATGTATGGAATGGAAAGTCAAAAGAAAGGTATACATGAATTTTAGTTAGAGGAGTATTAGGAGATATGACTTTTGGAATATAAAAATAAATGTATTTTAATTAATATAATTTTATAAATGAAGATGTTAATGGACAATTGAAATTTTGAAAAGTTGTGATTTGAAGAGTGCCGCATCATATTTTTAATGATGTGATATATAATAGAATAATTTGTCAAAACAATAGTTTATGGCTCAATTTTAATATATTATAATAGATAAGTAATAATTAATTATGAATATCTCCTCCTAGTTATTAATAATCAGTTTATAATTCGTCTGTATAGAATATTTTATTTGAAATTCTGAATTCAAAATCGGATCATTATATTATTTCCTCCCACGGATATTTATTTGAATAGATTAACCCCTTATATTAAATATCAAAATAAAAATATTAATTATAAATATATTAAAAAATAATAATATATACATCTAGTAATTTAAAAGAGTGTGTATTTTTTATTTTTTATTTGATAACAACACTTGAATTATAAGAAAAGGAAAAATAGTCCAGCTCACACAGAATTACAAACTTTTATAGTTAAGAAAACGTGAAGGATGTTGTCGTACTTCGAAAAAAGTACGATCCTTCGCGAATGGTCGCGGAAAACACAGAGTCTCCACCGAACTTTATTTATCCCAAAGAGGAGATAGAAAAATATCAAGAAAACTTTTAGGGAAAGAACATGGTCATCGCAATCAAGTTGTAAGTGCTCTTGATTGGCTGCATTTTGTGGCAAAACACTAGAGCTTGTTTGTATGTCATAACTGATGTTAGTGCGTACATAATGTGGACAGTACAGGGTAACTTGACTTGGCTAAAAGCAAGTTAAGTTGGATGTCATACCCAATGTTATGACTTGGGTCGTATGACATCAAGCGCAGGTTTGCGCAGGTTTATTTTTCTGGTAGCTATAAACCAAGAAACAGAATAGGAGCTCTAGCTGGATATCAGGAGACTTTCTAGAAGCCTTAGGCGATCTAAAAGATCCTTGATTAAGTGGCAAGTGTGCAGTTCATTGAAAATAGGTTTGTTATGAATAAAACCTAATTTATGCACCAAGGCCCAAAAGGACTGACAACTGCTATAAAGATCAGAAGAAGCAATCTTGAACAGCAGCTCTTGACAGAAGAATATAGAGTGCAAATTGCAGAGTCCTTGTAAGTGAAGAAGGCTAGTCTTCACGTGTGAATTCTATTTATAAATACTTGTACTCCAAGCAATTGTCTGGTGGATGATTTGCATTGGATAGGTAGATTCTAGGTTGTGTCTCACTCAAAGCTGTGAAACAAGAGTGTGTGAGTTCCTTGATCAAAGCTGTGAAGCAAGATCAAGGTATGTATAAAGTGTCTCTTCATATTTAGTCTGTAATTGTGAATTGTATATCACTGTGGTGATTGAGGGGGAGTGAGTGGGTATACTCAGGTCTAGAGTAGCTCTAGGCTGAATTGTCATTGGGTAGGTTTTAAGTGAGGAGTGCAAACTGTGTTGTTTGACTCTGAATTGTAAGAACACAGATTGTTTCTTACTTATATCTCTATGTTTTGATGATAACGCTTATGAATTTTGTATTCAAGAATTATATACTCTAAATTTGTTCTAGACTGTTTGCTACAGGTACTAAAGAAAATATTCTTAAAAGAGCAAATTTGGATCTGAACAATCTTATTATGAAAGGCTTCAAAGGTTCAAGAGCATCTTAAATGAAGATCTGAACGCTGCTCCCAGAAGAATCTGATTGCTGTCTTTTGAAGATTCTGAAGCAGGAGCCTCTAAAGAATAGAAGACTCTGCTCTGATGGATTTACACGCTCAAGCACACAAGCTGCACATACTCTGATTCAGCTCAATCTGAAGAACATCCAAGACTCTGAAGATCCAGAAGATCTCTACTCTGGAGACTCTGAAGATTCAGATTCTAATGTTGAAAGCTGAACTTACTTGGTGAAGAAGATTTAAATATGTACGTTGGCTTATCTCAACAACTCTTTCCTCTTTTGTGCTAGACACAAGGACACAGACAAAAAGGTTTTATCTGCGCATTCCATTCTAAGGAAAGTTTCTGCAAAGTGAAGACAAAAGGCATCAGGCTTTTTCAGCACAGCCTCCAATGTAAAGGCAAAAGGCTCCAGGCTTTTCAGCACAACCTTCAACGTTGAGAAGACTTCATGGATCTAAGTGCCTATATAAAGAAGTCCACTCCATCTTCTTAGGTATCGAACTTCTAGCAAAAATCGCTCATCAAAGCAAAACTCTCAAAGCTCTTATTATTTTATTTTGCTATAACATTGTTCTTAACTTAAGAGAAATATCACAGTTGTGATAACAGCTTATTAGAAGCATTCATACTCTTGTAATAGTTTTACATTGTTTGTAAAAGGTTTTCCTTAAGAGGATCCAGTTGGGATCAGTTGCTCTTGAGAAGACTAAGAACAGTTGTTCTTAGGTGTTACTATTGTAATCTGTTTGATTAAATAGTGGATTAAGTCCTTGACAGAGAAAGGCAAATCACTCTTGAGAGGGTGGACTGGAGTAGTTGTGTTCAACGAACCAGGATAAAAATAACAGTGTTTAAATCTTTGATTATTTGTCATACTTATTCAACCCCCCCCCCCTTCTAAGTAATTTTCTCACCTTCAGTTGGCATCAGAGCTCCGGTTTTGCGTGTGCTACCACTTAACCGTGTCAGTAAAGATCCAGTGAGAAAAGTTACTTTGTTATATATCTGTTTGTCATTATGGGTGACACATCTACATCTAACTGTAACAAATATGAAGGAGATAGAATCAGCACAAAGCCTCCCATGTTTGATGGAGAAAAATTTGATTACTGGAAGGACAGGATATAAAGTTTCTTCCTGGGGTATGATGCTGATTTGTGGGACTTGGTTATTGATGGCTATGAACATCCTATAAATGAGGATGGCAAGAAAGTTGACAGAAAATCAATGACAGAAGTCCAGAAGAAGGATTTCAAGAATCACCATAAAGCTAGGACAATATTGCTTAATGCAATCTCTCATACTGAGTATGAGAAGATTACTAACAGAGAAACAGCTCATGGAATGTTTGAGTCACTTAAAATGACTCATGAAGGAAATTCTCAAGTGAAGGAGACCAAGGCTCTGGCGCTTATACAGAAGTATGAAGCGTTCAAAATGGAAGAATCTGAAAATATAGAAACTATGTTTTCTAGATTCCAGATCCTTACTGTTGGTCTAAAGGTTCTAGACAAGGGATACTCTACATCAGATCACGTAAAGAAAATCATCAGAAGTCTGCCTACCAGATGGAGACCAATGGTGACTCCTTGAAGATGGCTAAAGATCTGAACAATATCTCTCTAAAAGAACTCATCAGCTCACTGAGGAGCCATGAGATTGAGCTTGAGGAAGATGAACCTCAGAAGAAAGAAAAAGGTAAATCTATTGCATTAAAATCTAATAAAACTGCTAAAGCTTTGCAGGTCATTCAAGAAAGCTCTGAAGAATCTTCTTCTTCTGAAGAAGATGAGTTATCCATGTTGTCCAGGAGGATCAACAGGCTCTGGAAGCACAAGGGAAAGAAATTCAACAACTTCATAAAATCCGATCATAGAAAGGAATCTTCTGGGCACAGAAGATCTGGCAAGAAAGAAGTTGTATGCTAT